GAGAAGGAACAAAGGACTCAGGACAAAGAGAGGACATTTCCAAGTGAGAACGTTTGATCCCAAATCTCCAGGCTGGAATTTAAACCTGGGTCAGGAATTATCTCCACTCAAACATTTACTGTTGCATTCCCCCTGCACCCCCCCACCCCCATTAAAACAAGATGAAATAAAAGCTAAACAAAAACAAGACAAAAAGCAAAAGGTTGCAAGCTAAAAATCATGTCTTTTTTACTCTAAGTCCTAAATCATGAATGGCAAATAAATATATTAGAACATGGCCCAGCTGTTAATGAGAGCTACCCTATTTCATTGATTCTATTAATACACTTTCCCCCCTCACATTTTAACATCTCTAAAATTGGGTTTTTATAATTGATGGTGTCTTAGAACAAGAGTCGAAAGCTTCTTTTCTTGTGATTCATCAAGTCATGTTGCCTCTCACAACTGACAATACTTAAGATTCCATGAAATGCAATATTGGGTTTACAGAGACCTCAGCAAATACTCCAAGCATGGGAGCTCGGGATCCGAGGGGCTCCACTTAAGTTAATTATTCCACATAAAGTTCCTGTAATAGAACTTACAAAAGCCTTCTTTTCATCTTGACCAGCTTACATGTCACCAAGGCTGACATGGACAAAAACATCCCTTAAAATTATTATGTAACTTCTAAATTACCTAGTTGACTCTAGTCTGTCAAAAGTATGGAGAGCTTTCCAAAAAAGATAAACTTCTTAGTTTGTGCCAAGAGAGAGTTAACCTAAGCTCAGACATTCAGGTGGGTCAACATCTTGAAAGGAGAAAGATGAGAAGAGGCCATATAACTAAGGAACAAGTAATGTTGTTGTCAAGATGCATAGCAATAGATCAACAATTGGAAAAGGTCCCGGTATAGCCCAAGTCTGTCCACTGCTGGAGAACCTTAAGGCAGACTCTGCAGAAGCCCAGACTTGCTCAAGTCCTCTGACGCGCAGGGACTTCCTTTAGTTTCATATTTAGCCACAAAACCAAAATCCTCTAGTGGCCCAGAGTTATTTTTTGAAAAATATAGTGCAAAAAAAGTAACTGTTCGACCTACTTTAAAAAAAATGTAAAATACATACAAAATTCTCTGGGTTGAGAAGATAGGAATCTGGGCAAGTTCACATCCCAATGAACATGGGAGAATCTCCAAGGAAAGAGGTATCACTGAAGGGCTGTGCCCTTCCTACAGAGGGAGTGTTTTTTCCAGCAACGAGGAAGACCTACTGCTCCCTTCCTGCAAGGAAGCACCATTCCCACCATCGGGAAGTTGTAAACTGCTTTTTTTCAAGTCTACATGAATGAAACATTAGTATGAATCTACTAATAACACGATTTTACTTGAGGCTTTAATTTTTTTTATTTCTACTGTATTTATTGGGGTGACATTGGTTAATAAAAATATTTGTTCCAGGTGTACAATTCTATTAACAGCGATTCTGAAACTTTTTCATCTCATGGCACATATAAACTAATTACTAAAAGTCTGTGGCACACCAAAACTATATATTTTTTTGCCAATCTGACAAAAAATAATTTTGACTCATTCACTCTGGACAGCTATTGCCATTGCTGTTATCATTTTTTTATTTGACAATCTAAGGCAGCGGTTCTCAACCTGTGGGTCACGACCCCTTTGGCGGTCGAACGACCCTCTCACAGGGGTCACCTAAGATCCATCCTGCATATCAGATATTTATATTACAATTCATAACAGTAGCAACATTACAGTTATGAAGTAGCAACGAAAATAATTTTATGGTTGGGTTAGCCCCCGAACCTCCCTCCCCTCTGACAACGGTGAGTCAGTCTGTCCTCTGTATCTATGATTCTGTCTTTATTTTGTTGTTAGTTTATTTTGTACAATAGATTCCACATGTAAGTAAAATCATAAGTTATTTGTCTTTCACTTAGCATAATACTCCAGACCACCTCACACCCGTCAGAATGGCCATCATCAACAAATCAACAAACAAGTGTTGGCGAGAATGTGGAGAAAAGGGAACCCTCGTGCACTGTTGGTGGGAATGCAGACTGGTGCAGCCACTGTGGAAAGCAGCATAGAGTTACCTCAAAAAATGAAAAATGGAACTGCCTTATCACTCAGCAATTCTACTTGTGGGAATATATCCTAAGAAATCTGAAACACTAATTCGAAAGAAGACATGCACCCCTATGTTCATTGCAGCATTATTTACAGCAGCCAAGACCTGGAAGCAGCCCAAGTGCCCATCAGTAGATGAGGGAATAAAAAAAGCTGTGGTACATTTACTTGAGGCTTTTAATGGAGAACTTTGAGACCTTTCACCCCTGGCTGCGTGCAACTGTGACTGCAGCATTCTGGACAAACAGCAGAGGGCACTTTAAGCCTAGCGCATGTGCTCCATCTGTGCTCCTCTAGCAATCCAGCAAGTTCCAAGGATCTGAATCTGGGTCGTCATTTATCATGTGCTCTCTGCTGCAGCATGTCCTTCAAGAACTATGACTAAAACAGACCATGTCTTCAACAAATAGACAGTAGTAGCTTATATACAAATGCACTTGCTTAAAAAAATTGTTGCCAAATTAGCAATGAAAAATAAGAAGATTATGAAGGCATCATAATAGTCTCAGCTTGTATTGTAAATTATATTATACTAGAGGACCGATGCACGAAATTTGTGCATGGGTAGGGTCCCTAGGCCTGGCTGGCGATCAGGGCCGATTGGTCATTCTGCTGTTCGGTCGATTTGCATATTAGGTTTTTATTATATAGGATTCCAGTTCTTAGAAAAACCTTAATCAAAAGGTTATAGAGAGCAAAATATCTTCACCTTTTAAAAAATTTGAGATATACTTGACATAAAACAATGTATGTGTTTATGAAGTTTCTTCACTTTCTTCTTAACCCTAAGGGGTAATTCATTTTGTTTTTAAAGTGAAAGACATTTTTCCTAAAATCACAGTTTACTTGTGAATGAGAAATCTGTGGCTCTACATTATACTAAACAGTAACATCTTCATGAATTTGCTAAATTCTGTAACTTTTGTATTTGGTTTTTAGTGAGAGGACTATATTCCTTAGGTTGTCTAAATAAATCTGGTTTAGCAATGAAAGATTTTAAGCACTTGAAAACCTAGGGCAGGAGTGGGGGAAGGGAAGCTTTAACACAAACGGCATTAAGTGCTATAAAACTCTAATTTTAAGCTATTGTAAAAGTTAGCTTGTGGTCATGTATAAATGTTAAAGATACACATGCTTTAAATCTGACACTGAGAAAAATGCACAAGGAGAGTCAAGCATTTGACTCTGCAGTCATCATAACTTGCATTTAACAAACTGGAAAAGGAAGCAATGGTGCAGAAATTACAGTCAGTGGAGAATCTAAACATGCAGGAGCCAAAGAAATTCATAAGTTTTCTTTCTACAGCAATGGCACCCTAGATGCTTTCGATATCATCTTTTGAATAAGAACACTGTAACGACATAGTATAAATACATCGTGGGTCTATGGGAATCATTACAAAATATGATGATTTTAATATATTTGAATTCTTCATTATTGCAGGATAGAGTGGGTTTTTATCTCATCCAAAGGGAAAAATGCCTATTCTGTAGGCAGAGGACTATTCTGTAATATATATTCCGTAAACTTTAAATATTAAAATAATTTTGAGTAAACTGCCGGGTTCTTGGGGAACAAAGTATGTAACCATATTTACAGATGAATTAGGTCATTCAACTAAAATACTGGGAAAGTCAACAGTTATGATACCTAGCAACTTCTTGATAATCTTCAGATATAATTTTCTAAAGGCATTTCCCACAGGTACTTTAGCAAATAAAACAAGCTGAATAAGGGATTAGATGAATTCCTGTTCAAGTAAACTTGAGTCTGCTGCCTCAGTTCCAAAGAAGATGGCATAACGTGAACATAGGTCCTTCCTGCACAAAAATATCTCCAGCCAGCAAGGCTGAAACAGTTCCACTACGAAAGTGCCCCTTTGAGAAGGGATGTTACTCATATTGGCATAGCGTTTTATGACTTGTGAGGGCATTTCATGCTCATTACATACTTCCTCCTTACTACATCCCTATCTGGGCACTAGGCTAGACCTTCCAACAGGTCCCTTTGGCTGAAGAACTAACACTTAATGGACTATATGGGATGAGTCTTGAACTCAAGTTTGTAGGCCTTGAAGCTTGTGTCTGTTAGTTATAAGGACAGAACAGTAATACATAAGCTTCCTATAATTCAATACTACACCTTCCTTTTGTAGTTTTCTTAGTACTTACTTAGTACAAAAGAACATTTGAGAAAGTCATGACCAAACCAGGGAAATCTGGAAAAGAATTAAGAGGACTGCTACATGAGAATATCAGAATTGGGGCAGGGGGCGTTCATGAGTAGTGATTCATTCAAGAAATGTTTCTTGGGTGCCGGAGGCAGCAAGAAGCTCTCGGTATCTTATGGTAGGAGACACTAAAGAAGAGGAAGAAACAGGAGGGACAAATCATGTCTATTTCATCAATTTTTATGTTGTTAGCCTGGATATGCCTTTGAGGATTTCAGGACTTAAACCTATAGGCCTAGGGGTAAAAATTCTAGCTTCTCCCAGAGAATTTAATTTACAACAAGAAGTAATTTACTATCTTTTAAGTTACATAACTAGCCTTAAACAGGGGCACTGAAGTAAATAGTTTCCTTTCTTTTTTAAAAAAAAATATATTTTATTGATTTTTTTACAGAGAGGAAGGGAGAGAGATAGAGAGTTAGAAACATCGATGAGAGAGAAACATCGATCAGCTGCCTCCTGCACACCTCCTACTGGGGATGTGACCGCAACCAAGGTACATGCCCTTGGCCGGAATCAAACCTGGGACCTTTCAGTCCACAGGCCAATGCTCTATCCACTGAGCCAAACCGGTTAGGGCAATAGTTTCTTTCTTAATGCCCATTTTGCTAGACCCACCACCCTGAAATCACAAGTTTTTGGTTTGATGTGTGACAATTTTTGTTTTAAGAATCTGAAAACAATATCTGAATAAAGCCAGTAAGGTCTTAAAATTTTATATCACTCTCCAATTCTATTTTTTTTAAATTCTTCCTTTGAACAAAGAAAACAGTAAGTATATTCATAGTAAGTAATTACTAGTTCTTATTGTGAAAAGCTGTATGTATATTTTAATCCTTGTAGGAGATTAAGAAAATCCTTTTGCTCCCAGTGAATTTAAGTGCAACAAACAAACAAACAAACCAAACAAAAAACCCGAACACACACAAAAGCAGAACCAGAATAAAGATCCTGTTAAGAGGCACTTTACGCTGAGGTGGTTTTCAGAACTGAGAGTTGTGAACCGGCACTTTGAGATCGAGGAAAACCTCAGCAGGGCGTTAAGACTGACAAGCAGCACTGTTAACAGAGCCCGGAATGGAGAGAAACATGAAGCACGGGTTGCTTTAAAAATGCCTCCCAGTACGAGCATGGCTCCTTCCACGCAGAAAGCAAAGGTTAATAACCATCCTTCTTAAGTAGTCCTGACAGAGAGCTAGATTCCTGTCTCTTTAGACACGACAGGTGGGTATGCAAAGACACATGCTTAACGGTATAAGGATAACATGGGCCAGAAATGCCTAGCCACCCAAACTATAATAATCATGCTATGAATAGTACTGAGAAGCAGTGTATGTCTTTACCCAGGTGATTACAAATATCTTACAAATACTGAGCAGAAATCATTTCCCCATCCCACGCATGAGAAGGAGGAAGCTGGGGAGACTGCCTTTTTAAAGGTGTATATTTTTCATTGATTTCAGAGAGGAAGAGAGAAAGAGAGAAAGAAACATCAATGATGAGACTCATTGATTGGCTGCCTTTTGCACGCTCCACACTGGGGATCGAGCCTGCAACTGAGGCATGTGCCCTGATCAGGTACTGATCTCTTAGCTCAGCGGTTCTCAACCTGTGGGTCGCGACCCCTTTGGCGGTTGAATGACCCTTTCACAGGGGTTGCCCAAGACCATCCTGCAGATCAGATATTTACATTATGATTCATAACAGTAGCAACATTACAGTTATGAAGTAGCAACGAAAATAATTTTATGGTTGAGTCACAACATGAGGAACTGTATTTAAAGGGCCAGAAGGTTGAGAACCACTGTCTTAGCTCATAGGCTGGTGCTCAACCACTGAGACACACTGGCCAGGCAGGGGAGACTGCTTTAAAGGTGCTAGTGAATAATACCAGATGTATCTGCAGGGGGACACAAGGCGAGGAATTCAGAAGGAAAAAAACAAAACAAAAAGAAAACCCACTACATTTATTTATCAGACATCTTCCTGTTTCCCTAGAAATAGATCTTAGTGTCCACTTTTAGAGATGATTAGGCTAGAGTAACACACTTTGTTTGGAAAGAATTCTTTTCTTTTCATTATCCTTCAAGTGAATTTAATTGATTAATAGTGTTCACACTTCACTCTATTGACTGTGGAGAGCCTGGCCCTGACCTGGGGAGTGAAGGGGAGAGGGACGAAGATGGGAGACAGTGGCCTCCACGGAGTGTCTGGCGCATCCCAGCACTGTGTTGGGGAGTTTGTGCAGTAGAAGACGATGCAGGTACCTCTGGTTCGCCCACAGAGACAATGTACACATCTGTCTATTAACACATGGTAGGTAGTTACATCCCGAGGAAGCATACTGACACATCTGCTTATCCTGTGTCTAAGTAAATCTCTTGGTAATTAGCATGTAAACCAGCTGAGAAGTGGGTGGACCAAAGGCTTTCACAGCAAAAACATGAACAGTTTCTAAACAAGCCCATCCAGCTGCCTTTATTTTAAAGTAGAAATGCAACTTACAATTTGTAGCTGTTGCACCATTTCTTCTCGGTAGGCTAGTTCCCTTTTCATCTGGTCCTGGAAATTATCTAGCAGGAGAGAGAAATAGAGACAGAAATGAATTAAAGTGCAAAATCTACTTTTAGCATATTTTGTGAAAATATTACTGACAGCCCCATAGAAAACCCCTCCCCTATCTAAATATATAAAAGCCTAATATAAAGTGTCCCCTTGGGCGTTTGACCAACCGGGAGTTTGATCGCTCGCTATGATGTGTGTTGACTACCAGGGGGAGGCTTGGACCACAGGAAGGCGCTGGCCACAGCCAGCAGCTGCTAGGGACCCTACCTGTGCACAACTTTTGTGCACTGGGCCTCTAGTTTGATATATATATTTTAAAAGTAAATAACATGAAGGAATGTTTTCAAGATTCTATAATTTAATCAGAATAGACAGTAAACTCTGAGGGGGTAAGGTCTATATCTTACATTTCACAGTATCTCACAACCCATGTAGTACAATCCTTTGCGCATCATCACTCTCAGGAATGTCTGGGCAATCCTGTTTCCTAGTCTTTGCACAAGTGAGAAAGTCGCAAGTACCTCAAGCTTCCACTGCCTTCAGAAGTTCAGAGGGAGGGAGAGGGTGCACCTCAGTCACAGGGAATGCGGACCCTTGTACACAAAATGCCGTCTGGGTGATAAAATGTGGGTCCGTTAGATATGGCTGCCTGGCTTCACTGCAGCCTGTCCCACTCCTAAAAAGAGTGCCTGTCTGCCAACCTGCACACTTTCTCTCCCTGTATCAGCCTTATTTTTTGGTCCTTCCTGGGCCTGGTTCAGTTCTACAGGCCCCGCCTCTATGTGAGAAGTATCGTTATGCAAACTATCTTTGCCATTCTACATACTGATCATTTTTAAATTGCATTTACAGGAAAAAAAAATGACTTCCAATGTATATATCATGTTGTTGCATTTTCTAGATGTGGTCTTTAAAAAAAAATGTAGACTTAGCCATCTGCCTTTTTCTGCTTTAAATGGTAACACAGTGTCATATTGCATCTGTGGTGGATAGTCAGGTCAGCAGTTTAATGGAACCAGAAACACAGTCATCACCTTTCCCCCTTCTCTTCAGCCAACGGGTATGCGAGTCCTGTACATTCTACCTCCATCCTCCCCTCTCTTTGCCACTGTTACCCCCCAAAGAAATAGTTTCCCAGTGACCATCTGGCCTACAGTCCCCTCTTCTCCAAATCCCTCTCATTCTGCTGCTTAAAAACCTGTGATGGCTTTCCACGGCTTTCAAGATAATAGATCCTTTACTACTCACGAGGCGCTGGGTACTAGACATTAACAGCAGTGTTCTTTTATTTTACTGACTTCTACCTTTCTAGACTATGTGAATTCCTTCTCCAACCTCAAACACATATCTGTCTATGTTTCCTTCCACAATGTCAAACACATATCAATCTAGCTAACTATCATTTATTTTTTATTTTTTAATATATATTTTATTGATTTTTTTACAGAGAGGAAGGGAGAGGGATAAAGAGTTAGAAACATCGATGAGAGAGAAGCATCGACCAGCTGCCTCTTGCACACCCCCTACTGGGGATGTGCCCGCAACCAAGCTACATGCCCTTGACCAGAATCAAACCTGGGACCCTTTAGTCCCCAGGCTGACGCTCTATCCAATTAACCAAACCGGCTAGGGCACCTATCATTTGTTTTTAAAGACTTAAAAAAAAAAAACAGTTTTAGGTTCACAACAAAGAGCAAGGTACAGAAATTTCCCATGTACCCTTCCTCCCACACATCCATAGTCTCCCAGTTATCAACGTCACTCTCCAGAGTGGTACATTTGTGATCAGGGATGAATGAACATTGACATGTCATAATTCTAAGTCCACAGTCTACATCAGGCTTTACTCTTGGTGGTGTACATTCTGTGGATGTGGACAAATGCATAATGACATGTATCCATCATTATAGTATCAGAGTACAGTAGGACCTTGACTTATGAGTTTAATTCGTTCCATGACGGAGCTCGTAACTCAAATTACTCGTATGTCAAATCTTAAAGTGAACGAGTGAGACATGTGATGCTGGGCTGATGTTGTGGCGTTCACTGTGACGTTCGCTGCGCCAACTAGCGGTGGGGTATCTGAAGCTGGCTCGTAACCTGAATTTTAGCTCGCGATTTTCATATCTCGAAAAACTCGTTAGTTGGGACACTCATAAGTCAAGGCCCCACTGTAGTTTTACTGTCCTGAAATCCTCTGTGCTCTGCCTACTCATCCCTTTTCTCCACCCGACTCCTGGCAACCACTGATCTTTTTATTGCTTCCATAGTCTTGCCTTTTATAATTTATTTTTTTAAAAGACCCAATCCCTAATTTCACCCCTGAATTTAATGTGAAAGGTACTGTACTATAGGTAAGTGTGTGGTGCCATGCAATGGTTACGGGAGAAGCTTCAATCCCTTGGGGAGTGAAGGGGCACAGTTTAACTGAGGATAAAAAAATCATTAGGCCAATGTCTCTAATGAGAATCACTTAAAACACAACTATTTTTGGAAACATAGTATAAAAGGAGGGAGCAGAGAAAAAGCACAGAAGCACGGCCTGCCAGCCAGCACAGGGGCAAGGGCTGTGCTCTATTAACATGCCCTCTTGAAAGGCCAAAGCGTTTTCCAAACAATAATAAAAAGTATCCAGCCTACATTTCTGGGACCAGAAATAGAAAAACCCACACAGTACATATGGTTTAACAGGTAGATCCTACTCGTCAAGCTACGGGCTCACAACAAAATTGTGGACAAATGAGTAATGACATGTAGCTATCATTATAGTATCAGAGTAGTTTTAATACATTTTAAAAATTATTTAATTTTTTAAAATTGTTTTAACACACTTGTTTACGTTGTCTTCATTTTGTTATCATTGCTTTTAAACAACTATCGAGACTTTTGGTCTATACTGGTAAAGGAGAAGGAAGAAAGAATAGACAAGTTTGCTAGGGAAGGTGGACACAATGTGGTGGCAAAAATGACTTCGGGATTTAGAGCTGCAAATCCGATCTGACCAGTCACTGGGGATGAGGGGGAGGGGGAGGAGGAGGGAGAGGGAATGGTGGCATGTTGGGGACAGGGTCTCTAATCATTTACTCCCGTCCAACTAAATGCAACTGTCTTTGCAGGACGTTTGACCAACTGTCCTATTGCCATCACAAAGTGACCTTGATAAGGGTGAACTCTTCCTCATCCATTTCCTCCAAACTTGGATTTCCATATTTCCACCCAATTCTAGATTACATTTCTCCCATCTCTCCTTACAATGCCTGCCCTCTCTCTTGCTCATGTCTTACTCAGTTTGTCAGCGAAACGCATTGTCTGGTATCAAACCAAGTTTCACTGCCTGTTCCACTCTTGATAACTAGAGCCCAATAAATCTTGAGAAGTTCTGGCTTCTCATATCAACTGGTTTACTATCAAGTCCCTGCAGCATCTAAATATCAAACTTTAAAGTGGACTATGGTGGCAACAACTCACATCACCATGGAGCAGTCACTGTGCTCAACACTTTGTATATTTCACTCAAGTAATCCTTTCAGCAGCTCCCTGAGGTAGGTGTTAGCACCGTGTTACAGTCGAAAGGGCTTAGGTAATAGCCTAAGGTTTCTCAGTCGCCAAGGTTACTCATTGTGCTCCTCTGCTCTGAAATGCATGCCTGGCCCTGCTGCTTGAGCCCGGCTTCCTCCCTGTATTTCCCCATCAGGGTTTTGCAGGGTATTTATGGAGAGCAGCTCTGAACGCTCCATCCCAGCAAGTGAGAGACTTGCTTGTTCCTCCTCCTCTCAATTTCTGACCCCCCTCCCAATATAGAGATGCTTTCTCCTCCTCTTCCCCTTTCTCCTCTTCCTCTACCTGGTCTTCCACCACCTCCTCCTCTTCCTCCTTCCTCTAATCTTTATCCTCACCTTTATTTATTCCCCTGGTCCTCATTAACCCTCAGAACCACAACAAGAATCCCAAGAGAAACTCAGAAACTTATTCTAGAACTAGGGGCCCAGTGCACAAATTCATGCACCTTGAAAGGAACTGTGGGCCACAAGGCTGCGGTGGGCACAGGAGTGGGTCTCAACCCATCCTCCGCACCCCCACCCGGCCCCTTCTGCCATGGCCCCGGTCCCCTCTCTGCCGGCAGCCCCGCTCCCACGGCCACCACTCCCATGTGCTGATGGTGCCAGCCCCGCTTGCACCTGCAGCCGGTGCTGGAGTCGCCGCTCACACCCACTGCTGGCACCCGGCACCAGGTGTGAGCACCGGGTGGGACCGTGGAGCACAGGAGCAAAGAATTTTCAGTAACCACCAGAGGCTTGTCCCAGTGACAGCGACTGGCACCTTGCCTTGGTCTGGGGCCCCGCTCACCTGCTCCACCATCCCACTGTGGCTGACGCCTGCCATGTTCTGTGCACGCCCCCTGGTGGTTAGCACACTTCATAGCGACTGGTTGTTCGGTTGTCCTGGTTGTTCTGCCATTTGGTCTATTTGCATATTAGCCTTTTATTCTATAGGATTGCTTTTCTAGAGCTCAGTGCTAATAATCTCTCCCTCCTCCTGCTTAGTCATCGCAGCTGACGTTACTGAGCACCAGGGACGTGACAGCCCTTCACGGACCCCCTCATTTACCCTCTCATCTTCCTATGAGACAGGAATTATTGGCCCCATTTTACAGGGTCCAGGGTCCTATAACCAGGAAGTGGCAGAGCCCCTTTGTGAAGCCGGCATAGCTGAACTCGGGTCGGGTCGATTTTTGAGCCTGGGTTCCTACTTGTCACGTGCGGTAGCTTAGCCGAGTCCCATGTTCCAAGTGAACTGAGTTTTAGGGGTTGTGACTATGAGTGTCTGTCCACCTCCTGGTAAAAAGCTCTGCAAAACTCCAGGCTTCCTTCTGATACAGACGGCTTTACGAAGTTCCCTCTTCCCCTTTCCATCTGAGTGAATCTAAATCCGCCCACCAGCCTCAAGGCCTCTCGCGTGTAGCTAACAAGCACACAACGTGCATTTGCTATTTCACTGGTGTGAAATTAACTGCCTCTTTGCGGTGTGTCTAGACCACGCATTATTCAAACGTGGGCACGCACACACCACTTCCTTGGTCAGTGGAATACACGGCAGATAAAAAAGTGGAGAAATTTTTTGTTGTTGTTTAATTGAAGTGTTTTATATGTGTGGTAATCACAGAGGATTCATTTTAATTCAGATCAAAAGGCTGAATGACAAGTCTGAGTCCAAACTGGCCAGTTGTACTGTAACATTCTAACTTAAAAAAAAAGAAACATGTACATGTTGCATATAGTAGAGCAGTTAATAAAGAAAACTTATAAATGATTATAAATTAATTTGTGCCAATGATTCATTAGCTTTTATTAATGGAATCAATCATGGCTACACTGGCTTCAAGGAAGGCAGGGGGACACTTTAGGACAGGGGTCCTCAAACTACGGCCTGCGGGCCACATGCAAATACAAATATTGTATTTGTTCCTGTTTTGATTTTTAACTTCAAAATAAGATATGTGCAGGGTGCATAGGAATTTGTTCATAGCTTTTTTTTAAACTATAGTCCGGCCCTCCAACGGTCTGAGGGACAGTGAACTGGCCCCCTGTTTAAAAAGTTTGAGGACCCCTGCTTTAGGGATTCCAATCGGCTCTGCTAGATCTAAAAGCTGGGATTTGCAAACCTGACAATTAGATAAACATCAGCTTATCGGGGAAACTAATCATTCAGTGTTTGCCCAATTCTGTATGGAACCTTGCAGTCTTTCTTAAGATATAGTTTTAGAAATGAGAGAACTCTAGATCCTTTGAAAGCATCTGCTTTTTAAGGTTTCAAAGATTTTTTTAATACATTTCTCTTTTTCTCGAAGCTCCAAATGTCATGATGTTCCTAATACACTATCAAGGCTGTTGACCATCCCTCTCCAGTCGATCTTATTTTAAGCCTCAGCAAGTTCAAAATACGGGAGTACTGTGCGCTCCACGCCTCCCTCCAGGGCACTAAGAGATCACTCACTTGGCACACCCTGTTACTCCTGCGGTCAGAGCTCTCTTCCTTCATGCGTCCCCTTGCTTTTACTGCGCTAAGTGTTCTGGTGGAACTCAGTTTGACATGTTACCAGGAACCTAGCCCCATTCAAAACTGCTACCTGAGAAGACACGACTTTCAATTGTGCTGACGAGTACATTGGAGAGGCCCTGGTGAACGCAGACCTTCCCGCTGATATTATTAAAATAGTCACAATTCCTGGAAAATCTTCCACATGCTGGTCTTGGGCTCTAGCACAGGAATTGCCAATATATGTTTTGTGATGCCCAGATTAATAAACAAGGGACATGCTAACATTCTAAAAAAGTATCTCAGAAAAATTAATATAAGTTTATAGAATTTAAAATATATGTTCACATACTATTTTATTTCCCACTTTCTCTGGAGAGAGAAAGTAAAACTCCAAAAGCTTTTCAAAAAAATACTACTGTTAATGTATTTGTCAAAATGTGACCCAGACTGGGGCTGGTGGATTTTAGAAATCTGGACACCTACATAAAGTCTGAAATTCCAGGATTCTGGCAGCACAACCAATAGCGTTTATACTAAAATATCTCCTGCCATCAAAGTTGAAATGGAATTTTTACATTAAATATGGAGAATCCAAAACTACTAAAATTATACTAATTTCAATCAACAAAACAAACATGTGTACATTGAATTGATAAATTTTAAATCTTCATATATATGCGTATTTCAAGCACCAAGCAGCTTTCCAGCCAGCACAATCTGAGAATATGAATTAATTGTTCTTTTGTTTTTTCTATCTTAGGGAATAAAAATACCTGAGTAATTCTTTAAAAAAAAAAAAAATACAGCCTAGCCCAGCTGGTGTGGCTCATTGGCTGAGTGTTGACCTATGAACCAGGAGGTCACAGTTCAAATCCCAGTCAGGGCACATGCCCAGTGTGGGGCATGCAGGAGGCAGCTGATCAATGATTCTCTCTCATCATTGATGTTTCTCTCTCTCTCTCCCTTACCCTTCCTCTCTGAAATCAATAAAATATATTTTAAAAATAAATACATCCTAAATATTTCTGAATATTTAAATATATCTACACATGTAATGGTATGTTTGCATGCTGAGCTGATTCAAAGCATAAATAAGAGACTAAAATTTCCTAATATTTACATGGAGATCACAGGAAGACTGAGCAGCACTTTACACAGTCACCTAATCCTCAGAAGCATATTCTTTAGCCTAATAATAGGAATGTCATCAAATTTCATAATGCAATGAAATAAAAGTGATTTCTTACTGAATACTGGGAAAGATGTATTTCCTTTTAACACTTGGAATTCTTGTTCCAGTCGTCTCCGTAAATCTATTTGTTCAAATAAAACCTTCTGAAGTTCTTCTAATAAAGAAAAAAGGAAGAGTCATTTTACTAATCTTTATAAATAACTCTCCAGAGAACTGTTATATATGGCAATTTATTATTAGAAGACGAAATATTTTACCAGTTTAAAAAGTGTTGCATAGACATAGGATAGATTTTGTGCAGAAATCCATGAATATAAATCAATGTAATATATTATTTTAAAGTATTATATTACAGTGTCATGTATTGATTGATATGTATGCATTAATCTCAATTATATCCACCCAATGGTCCATATATTATTCATATGTTGCTTGTCAAGCTTAAAATACGGCATAGAACAAAAATATCCTCCTATTATCTCTATAAGTCTTTTACAGCGAAGAGAAGTTCCACAGAATTAAAACTTTTCTTTACCTTTCCCCATATTTTCTACATCCTTTTTGAGAGAATGAGGTGAATTTGTTTCTTGAGTGTGTTCACCTTTAAAAAAAAAAAGGAGAAAAATATTAGTTTTGTGTGGGCTATTTTTTGAACGTTCTTCTCTTCATTTTGTTTCAGTGTCTACAAAAGAGCTTATTATTTACTATAACTTGAAACTGGAAGTTCTCAGAACCAAATGTCCTCATTTGCTCATGTTCAATTCCCCAGAAGAAGGGGGGCAGCTAGAGAGAATGAGGGCACAGCCTATGTGGCCTGTGCTGGCAGCTCCATGAAAGTAGATTCCTGAGTTAGCCCCTCTCCCGCCCCAGTACTACCCCCTCCTTTACAACGAAGGTAATTGTTAGAACGGGCAGGAGAGGCAGTTGAGCAGTCAACATTTCTGGAAGAAGGCTGATCAGAGTCCCTCTCCCTTCAGAAGCGTGAAGAAGTCTGCTGACTATTGGAAGGCCCCCAGACCGTGGAAGCGGAAGCCTCCTGCCATCTGGAGCCACCAACATTTGGGACAGTGAAAAAGCAGTGGGAGGAGGCTTCAGTTGTCCTAGAGAGAGAATTTACAAGCCTGGAACAATTTCCTAATAAATGATAGGGTTTGTTGTTTTTTTAAATCAACCTAAAACAGAGACTAGTTATCTCATATTACTTTGTATTAGTCACATGCTTGCTGATAATTTCTTAACTACTTGCCTTTAACCAATAAAGACTATATTGTGGGTAAAGGTTAGATTGTTTTTCTTACTTATTTTGCTTAAGTGCCAACCAGAATGAAGGCAAGATAAAGAAAATGTATTTATCTACATTCATAAATTCAGTCTATACAATCCAGAAATTATAAATAAAGAAATCCAATCATTCAGCTAACCAGAATTTTTTTTGTTGTTTTCAAATTTCAATCAGCTACCTGCAACTATATATAAAATGTGATATGCTTTCCAAAGAGGTGAGTACAGACAAAAGTACTCTGAAGTTTCATGGATTTTTGTCCCCCTACTTCGCCTCCTCTGTGTCCCTGGAAGCTGTTCACTTACTTGCCTAATTCACCCACTAGATGGCGTGCTACTTGGAGGTAGGGCTGTGTCTTTCCTGCATGGCCAGTGCCTAGCACAGTGCTGCACGTATAACAGGTATTCAATAAAGTGTTTTCAGTTGTCACTGAAAGGAACCTCGGGAGGTTGTAAATTTTAAATTATGACCCGGGCCAGAATGCATCATTTCAATTCTCTCCTCACTATTTACTCATTTCCCTTCCTCAGCAAGAAATGGAATGTAATGGCCCTGGGCACTTGTAGGAACACTGGGAGATTTCACTGTCAAGGTAAAAATTCCTACAAGGAGGGACACAGAATTTCTCCCCAAAGTGGCAGGGAGACAGGTCAGTACCAGGACAGACAGGAAAACCCTTAGCAGGATCTTATAAATGGTGATTCTGCATCCACCTGAAGACTGTTGGGAGTATGTGTGGGCAGGTATGTGTGTATGCATATAGATGTGTGTATGTAAATACATATATGTAAACATAATCTATGCAAATATTCTTACAGCCCTACATAGTTATGAGAAGGTGCTTCTTGCTCCCCATCAGTAGGACAAGAATATCGTTGGCACCACGAGTTCCGTAACACAGGCATTTTCTCTAGTAGCTAGAGCATACTTGCACAATCTCATTCCCACTCTCATCTTTGACATGACCTCTCTCTATATGTTTCTGAATGTTCAAATTTTGGCTTTCTTCTCCATATAATAAAATATGAGGAAATTTCTGTGAAGCATTCTAAAAATAGACCTCAATGTAGTTCCTATAAAATACTAGTATCTAAAACAAGAGTAACATGAAGGTGGATAGCAAATCATAAATACGTAAACCAGGTATAACGGGACTTTGAAAGGAAGATAAGTGCATAATAGGTGCAGTTTTGACTATGTTTGCTCTAGTCAAACAGACGGTTCATACTCGATCTTGAGTCTGAACAAGAGGAGAAACAAGAATGCACAGACCTCTGCATCCATTTACAGGGCATAATAAGCCCCTGCAACACCCAACACACGGTTTAAATGAGATAGTTTGTTTCTGGACAGGCAACTCTAGAAGCCAAGTCCTTCTCACATTTTACACCAGATTCTTTTTGTTCCAATAGTGTATTTTGTGAGCTGTTTATTTTGTATTATATTTCAATTAGGCAGTTAAATTTAAAAGTTAAAATATGACGTGTTAAAATGCACTTCTTTTCTACTTCACAATTAGGAGGCTTATATAGGTACGAAACCATTAAACAAATGGCTAGTAAATGGAAACTATATGAACCACAGGCAAATCTACTGATGACATTAATAATAAGCTTTTCTTTTCATCAGCTTTGTGGAGGGTTTATTAATATTTTACATCAGTGTCTATTTCAAAGAGATATTCTGTTCCAACTTCTGGGTAAAATCTGCCAATTTTGAGCTTAGATCGAATGTTTCACATACAAAGGGTTTTTAAAAATAGTTCAATGCTAGTAAGTAAGGCGCACAGACGCTTCAGCTGCCTTTTGTGTATCTGGACCACTGCCTTTTGCATATTACTAATCTGTAAAAACCAGATTGTTAATGGTGGTTAAAAATGACCGCTGGGAGCCGGGATATGTTTGTTCACTATTACTGCTAATGTTTTCCATCTGGTTAACAAAAAAGGCAGTCTAATACTAGATTAAATAAATGAGATTTAGTTGACAGGGAGCTTCCAATTTTTATAAATATTCCATCAGGTTAAGTGCATTTTACTTTTCCAAAATTAATGAATGGCTTTGGAGACATCCCCAAATAAAATGCTTTCTTTTCTTCCCACTATATTCCCCCTAAGTTACCAAAGGCAGGGTTGGAGGACCATAGTGATCTTAACTGTGTAGAGTTATGGGAGAGAAAATTATAGCATGAAGGAACATCGTTCTTAGAAGCAGGTCTTAAGATATATTTCACGTCAGACCGTGAAAGAACACAGGTGGGTGGCGCACAGTCGGAGAGCAATGGGTACTTATGGCATAAGATGCACCTGAGCATGGAGGTGACCAGTGGTGCTCCTCAGGGCTCCGTCTGCACCAGCACTCCACAAGGGCACGTTCTTCAATGGGGCCGGCATCACTGCCTGTCAGTCCTGCTTGCCCCGAGGGGAGAGGCAGCGACATGTCACATCAGAGAAATTGCATCTCTGCCAAGTGCCGTAGAGGCCAGAAGACCAGGAGTCACGTGGTTCCTGCTTCCCTGGTCTCCCCAGCACCAGGTGGTCCCACATTCCAGGTGAATGTTCCACCCCACCCTTCATTCTGCCCTCACGCAGCCATCAGAAAATGGAAGTACAAGAGGGATGGATGTGAGAAAATGCCACACTGAAGTAGACATGAGCAGTAAATATCAGATGAAAAGACTGAAGTATCTAAAGGGAGAAAAAGCCCTGACTGGTTTGGCTCAGTGGATAGAACGTTGGCCTGAGGACTGAAGGGTCCCAGGTTCGATTCCAGTCAAGGGCATGTACCTTAGTTGCGGGCACATCCCCAGTAGGGGGCATGCAGGAGGCGGCTGATTGATGTTTCTCTCTCATCAATGTTTCTAACTCTTTATCCCTCTCCCTTCCTCTCTGTAAAAAAATCAATAAACTATATAAAAAAAATAAAGGGATTAAAAAAAGCCTGGACAGTGTGGCTCAGTGGTTGAGCATCTACCCAGGCACCAAGAGGTCACTGGTTCGATTCCTGGTCATGGCACATGCTCAGGTTGTGAGTTCAATCACCAGAAGGGGGCATGCAGGAGGCAGCCGGTCAATGATATTCCTCTCTCATCGATGTTTTTTATTTCTCTATCCCTCTCCCTTCCTCTCTCTCTAAAAATCAATAAAAACACATTTTTAAAAAATAAAGGGAGACACAAAAACAATAAACAAGACAGCCAATAGATTCATCAGCACCACTTTTCAAAGCAGAAGAATAATTACTTTCTCTTAAAAATTGTGGCACAGCTCTGCTCAAGAACCTGCAATGGCTCCCATGGTTGACACCACAGAATCCACTCTAAATTCTTCCTTCTGAGCCGTCAGGTTTTCTCTTAACCTTGTTCCATGGGCTGAGCTGAGCTTTTCCTATCATCAAACACAAACCCTATATTCTAGTGGGGCCTTTATTTCTTGTACTTGCTGGTTCTACCTTACATTGTTTCTCTTGCCTAAGGTTCCCAGACCCCTCTCCTCCCAATCCATCCAAAATCAGAATGCCACTCCAGTCTCTGCTTCCATAAAGCCTTTTCCAGCTTCTGCAAATGCTGCTGATCCATTCCTTCTCTGGCTGAAGGTCTAGGTGCTGATTGTCTTTACTGGGCCACTTTGTACCCAAGAGCCTGGTATGTTACATCAGATGCAAGTCTAGTCTTCCCCAGTGAGAAAACCTGCTTTCTCGGGCCAGGAAGATCCTGCCCTACAGGTAACCTCCATCACCTCTTCCCCAGGCAGGAGTACAGATACTTTCAACAAATACCGTTTGCACTTAATTCAATCGGGTTTGTGAAAGAAATACACATGAATGCTATAACAAATCCTCCATAGTCATAAGGGGTCTTTAAGGACTAACTCATTCCTAGAAACGAAAAAGCACACTTAGATCCATTTGTATATTCTAAGGCTTATCGTCTATTTTCAGTTTACTGGGGAAGTGTGTGATGTTTCACCTTTTATGCCTATTTGACATTTTGAAATTTCTTTCAGAGATAAAACCACAGCACTGCATTTTAACCAAGACATGGAAATATTAATGTACATGTCTGTTGTTGCTTCCACCAGAAGAAAATACTTGGCATTTTTAAAAATTAATTAATTAATTAATTAATAAATTCCCCTTTTTAAAAAAATATATTTCACTGATTTTTTACAGAGAGGAAGGGAGAGGGATAGAGAGTCAGAAACATCAATAAGAGAGAAACATCCATCAGCTGCCTCCCGCGCTCTCCCCACCAGGGATGTGCCCGCAACCAAGGTACATGCCCCTGACCGGAATCGAACCCAGGACCCTGGAGTCTGCAGG